AAAGTATACCAATGTAACTCTGCATTTCTATTCCAACATTTTAACAAATGAATAAAACGCGTCCTTGGTATCCACTAGGAAATCAATTATTTGAAGATCGAACTCCCATAAAACAATGAATCTGTCATTTCATGATTGTTTATTCTTTTTTTTTAAACGAGCTCTAACTTTTAAAACGGAAACAACAATATTCAAATGTAGCGGCCGCGGTGACGTAACAGAAAAAAAAGGAGACCATAAATAATGAATCGTGCTAGTTATCTTCCCCAACTTTTAACAAAAGGATAGCGCGAATGATTGCGTGCGTTACGGTAACCACGCCCCCCACGAGATTTGGAGCTTGATTATTGGCGGGTCGTTTTGATTTGCCTTTATTATTAAATAATGCCAGCCACAATCGCAGCGGGCCTCCGTTCATCAAACAGATTAAATCCATCCACTTTTATTACGCCGGCGATTTTGAGTCTAGTTTAAACTTTTGGAGCATTCCAGATCTGAAATTTTCTTTAGCCCCCCCCCCCCCCCCCCACAAACACACTCCTCGCCCCCTTCACCCATAGATCTACAAACTTTCGTATGTATTTTGTTTTAAAGTTTAGGATAACCAAACTTTCTAATCCATCGCCCTTCGTCATCTTCTTTGTTCTTAATTGTAATTATTGAAGTGGATGTTTCTCTAACACCATTTACAATCACCTGTCAAGGCGTAAGCAATATGTCCTTTTGTATCAAAATTAGGGCCTGCTTTACTTTCTTTCTTCCTGCGTTCTTTATGAGTTTATTAATTAAACATCAAGTCGAACGTCGCGGATGAACTGGACTGCGGTCTCCAAATCTGCTGGTGCCCCATATAGTTTTTCGCTTATCTTTCTGTGTGTACTTATTCCTGGCAGCAGTTGTTTGATTATGAAGTTTTCTCTCTTAAATATGTTGCTGTCCTCAGCTAACGAGTCTCATCTGCTTGAGGGAGGGGGGGGGGGGTCTGTATTCGAGTAGAGACCAATACACACCCCCAGAGTTTCTTCCAGACTTTTTTCACCGGGTGGGCACTTGCAATTTTCGGTGGTGGGGGGAGGGTAGATTTTCTTCGGGGGGGGGGGGCTGAAAGAAACTCTGACCCCCCCCCCCACTTCGTTATCACGAGATATGGTCTATTATTGTTGCTGACATGGAGCAGGAACATTTTTTTTAAATAATGTAACCATTGCTTAACCTCTATTTCTGACGCTACTGACCACACACACCTCTCTTTATGACGGTATTGACTCCACCAAATGCGGCCAACTCACCCCTCTCCTTATGACGCTACTGACCACACACACACCTCTCCTTATGACCCTACTGACCACTAAATACGGCCAACACACCCCTCTCCTTATGACCCTACTGACCACACACACCCCTCTCCTTATGACCCTACTGACCACTAAATACGGCCAACACACCCCTCTCCTTATGACCCAACTGACCACACACACCCCTCTCCTTATGACCCTACTGACCACACACACCTCTCTCCTTATGACCCTACTGACCACTAAATACGGCCAACACACCCCTCTCCTTATGACGCTACTGACCACACACACCCCTCTCCTTATGACGCTACTGACCACACACACACACACCCCTCTCCTTATGACGCTACTGACCACACACACCCCTCTCCTTATGACGCTACTGACCACACACACACACACACCCCTCTCCTTATGACGCTACTGACCACACACACACACACCCCTCTCCTTATGACGCTACTGACCACACACACCCCTCTCCTTATGACGCTACTGACCACACACACACACACCCCTCTCCTTATGACGCTACTGACCACACACACACACACACCCCTCTCCTTATGACGCTACTGACCACACACACCCCTCTCCTTATGACGCTACTGATCACTCACACCCCACTTCTTATGACGCTACTGACCACACACACACACACCCCTCTCCTTATGACGCCACTGACCACACACACCTCTCTCCTTACTGACCACTAAATACGGCCAACACACCCCTCTCCTCATGACGCTACTGACCACACACACCTCTCTCCTTATGACGCCACTGACTCCACCAAATGCGGCAAACAAATCCCTCCCCTTAAGACGCTACTGACCACACACACCTCTCTCCTTATGACCCTACTGACCACTAAATAGGGCCAACACACCCCTCTTCTCATGACGCTACTGACTCCACCTTGGTTTTAATTAACTCTCCAAAACTGTACACCCCCCGCTTACACCGAACTCTTCAACCAACAATGTTGCACACATTACACAAATACAGCACTAATCGCATAACGTGCGTGGGTAGCCTGTTTTGGGGGAACATAAGATCCTCTTATACAATTATTTCTGCTTAAATTATAGTCAAGGAGCCGTAATTAAATTCATATTCAAATTATGGCGCATACAGTTGTGTAAATTGAATAGAAACGAAATTCTATTTACATATGTATGTTTTCTGATAAAAGCTTTCTTTATGTTTAAGGGAGATTTATTCACTTAAAGAAAATGCGACGAATTCTGACAATGTATTTCCACAAATTATTCCTTGTGAACTTTAAGGAAAATATTATTATCATGAATATAGGCTAATTATTTTATTTTTGAGTACGTTGTTATAATTATTCGATTGAAGGCTAAAAGCATAAGAAAGACAAAGCTAAAAGATAAAATCAAAACCGTTTAAAATTATTTTTGTTAATTTATTCAATGGACGGAAATATAAGATCGAAATTTCATGTTTTTTAAATCAAATTCGTATATTCTTGATGTACCACTTATGATAAGAGTTTTAAAATAGGACTAGCTATAGTTATATTTATTTATAAAAATAACTACGTGAATGGCAGAAGAATTGTTATACAAAAACATATCATTCTTAACACTGGCTGAAGTTAGGCCATGATTGCTTCTGTGGAACCTTGTGGAGATAGGAAATACGATTGGTGGAGAGGACGATGGCCGTGATGATAGCCACGACGTAGCAGATGCAGGCCGGTGCTATGGTGCTGGTGCTAACGGCGAACAGACCCGCATGATTGAACCGCACGGATTGATTTAATCAGGGCCGCACTGGAATATTAATCCCGTGGGCTGTACAGATGTACAATGCTAGGGGGGGGGGGCGGCGGGGGAGGAGAAAGGGGGGGGGGAGGGAGGTGGATGTCTGTATAACGTGACTATTTGAGGCTTAGAGAGGTTCGTGCTATAATTATTTTTGGCGACTTCTTTATTTTAAATTATTAATTAATACGATTAAGAATTCTTTTTTTCCAAATTGTTCTTGATTTATTTGTGACAGAGGGACAATGCTAAATCAAGAATGATGAACATCTGTGTTCAAACTTCTAACCCCCCCCCCCTTTTTTTTTCATCCTCCACCACCACCTTAGACCATGCCTGTGCCTTTTGAATTATTACCCTATTACTTATTACCAGAAAATTGTTCTTGAATAAAATAAATAATCATGATCGCAGCCTGAAGTAATAGCAGGGTTTTATTGCTGTAGTTGTGATTAAGTCAGAGAGGAATAGAAAGCATGTTTAGCTCAATAATTTACAAACAGGAACATAAGGATATATCAATAGCCTTGATATTTATGCTAATGTAAGAATACAGAAAAGAGGAACATATAGATAAATAAAATGCACAAACACAAACATAAAGATATATAATAATACAAAAAGGGAGGAGTGTATTAACAAATAAACAGTAGCTAACAAATGATACAAGAAAGTGGAATATATTGATAAAGATTCTGGCTAACATGATAAAGCAAAAAAATATGGATAAGTAAATAGCGTGACTAACCTAACACAACAAAACTAAAAGTGCGGTTAAACGTTTTTCCGACAATGTGGCCAAAAACAACAATTGAAATGTAAAACAAAAGTTGGTATTTTCTATTTCCACTAGCCCGGGCACATTGACCTTGAAAAAAAAAAAATCAAATGAAAAGAAAAGTGTTGGGCAGGGGGGTATTTTCCAAGAGGTATTAAATAATTTAAAGCCGCAAGAATAAGCGATAACTATTATTACATTACATGTTTTAAACGTAACGGTATTTTTTTTTAAATGGCTAGCTTTAATTAATTATCAAGTGATTAGTTTAAACATGAACGCTGAACTTGTCGCAAGAAGATGCACAAGTGATCGCACGACAGTTAGAATATAAGCTCAAGACAGCGCTTGAAGGGGAATTTTATTCCAGCAAATCGCTTTCAATAACACATTTAACACACGACTATATAACCATGTCAAGTAAAAAAAATTCGAATGAAGTAAGTAGGCTATGCATGTTCCATTGGGGAAAAATGTTTTCATAAATTAACATGTTGCGTGTTTTTCTTCATAGACATGTATAGTATACATATCGCAAGTGTACACGCTGTATAAGAGATTGAAGTAGTATGTTAAGAAACATTTTGACATGCTCGCCGTTCTAGAGAATTTTTAATTAATTCTTTTTTTTAAATAAAAATTTGACAGAATTATCTTCACAATGATGATACAGTTAATGAAATCAATACAATAAGATTGTGTGGTACACCAAAATACGAAGCACTTCTATATATATTTTCGGTGCTTAGCTCAAGTATCTATCCGGTGGGGGCGGGGGGGGGGGGGGTGACAGCGCCACCCTCCCCAACACATCTATCTACTCCCCCCCCCTTACCGAAGTTTCATGTGCTCCCCCTTCCTCCCTGGGTGTTTCAAGAGCTTCCCCCCTCACCCCCCCCCCCCCCCTCACCACCCGACGAAACCCGGATTTGACATACCTACATAATTGATCAAACCAATACAATTAATTTGCTTTGTATTAGTTCCGCAGATCTGACGTGAACCGGAATCAAATCTACAACAGTTGAAAGCTCCGATACCAACAATCACATAAACTGTTTACAGCGGTGACTGTGGTAGAGTTCTGTCATGACGTCTAGTTGTGGGGGTGGGGTGGGGGCGGCGCTACGGGTCATGCCCGTGGTGCTCCTGCTCCTGCTGCCCCGGGACGGCCAAGGTCAAGGTGAGCGGCAGTGTTCCACGACCTTTCACGTGTGGCAGGCGGGTCACGACGCCCAGCAGATGATCAAGGACGTGTATTTGAAGATTGACAACATCACTGCTCACACGAAATTTGAGGTACGTAGACAACATCACTGCTCATACGAAATTTGAGGTCAGTACAACATCACTACTCACACGAAATTTGAGGTCAGTACAACATAACTGTTCACACGAAATTTGAGGTCAGTACAACATAACTGCTCACACGAAATTTGAGGTCAGTACAACATCACTGCTCACACGAAATTTGAGGTCAGTACAACATCACTGCTCACACGAAATTTGAGGTCAGTACAACATCACTGCTCACACGAAATTTGAGGTCAGTACAACATAACTGCTCACACGAAATTTGAGGTCAGTACAACATAACTGCTCACACGAAATTTGAGGTCAGTACAACATCACTGCTCACACGAAATTTGAGGTCAGTACAACATCACTGCTCACACGAAATTTGAGGTCAGTACAACATCACTGCTCACACGAAATTTGAGGTCAGTACAACATAACTGTTCACACGAAATTTGAGGTCAGTACAACATCACTGCTCACACGAAATTTGAGGTCAGTACAACATCACTGCTCACACTAAATTTGAGGTCAGTACAACATCACTGCTCACACGAAATTTGAGGTCAGTACAACATCACTGCTCACGCGAAATTTGAGGTCAGTAGACAACATCACTGCTCACACGAAATTTGAGGTCAGTACAACATAACTGCTCACACGAAATTTGAGGTCAGTACAACATCACTGCTCACTTGAAATTTGAGGTTAGTAGACAACATAACTGCTCACACGAAATTTGAGATCAGTAGACAACATCACTGCTCACACGAAATTTGAGGTCAGTAGACAGACAACATATCTGCTCAAATGAAATTTGAGGTAAGTATACAATATACCTGCTCACATGTCAGGAGACAATATAACTGCTCGCACGAAATTTGAAATAAGTAGACAGAAGACATAACTGCTCATACTAAATACGAAGAAAATAGATCAAAACCATGGGACAGCGCGGTCGAACGGTAGAGCGTTTGGCTGATAGCCCAAAGGTCTCGAGTTCGGATCTCAGTTCTGACATTTGACTGTAGGAGTTGGGGAAAGTAAAGGTGGCAGGACTGGACTTGGCAGTGCTGACTTGACCTCATATGCCGAGTTCAAGAAACATGTGAATTTTACTTCATCTGCTCAATGGATTGCTAGGTCTAAAGAGGGGCTTTATTTTAGATCAAAATCACTGCTCACACATAATACAAGGTAAATAGACAACACCGCAGCATACACTAAACACGAGGTAAGGAGATAAAGCCAATGCCCCCACGAAATACGAATTAAATCAAAATTACGTCACAAACGCGAAATACAAGGTAAGTAAACAAACCACACACGAAATACGAAGTAATAATACCTCAAACACTGAAATAGGAGGTAAGTAAATCAAATTTACGTCACACACGAAATACGATGAACATAGACATAACCACTTGGCTCCTATTAATATTAGCCATCCACCGATAGCTGGGTGAACTTAGACCACACACTGGGTTCAAACCTCCGATTTTTTTTTTTTTAAATTATTCAACGCACGCTCGTGAAAACAACGGCTCACCCCCTGGCTCTGATTCCAGATTGCCGAGATCAAATCCCAGCTGGCACAGGAAACGAGCCGGATCTACAACTGGACATACGCCGTGGACAAGCGTGTCTTCCAGCTGCAGATTGACAAGATGGACGAGGAGCTGGTGCAGGTGAAGAACATGGCGAGCTACTACAAGATGCAGACACAGGTGGAGCAAATCGGCAGGTCAGTCAGCTGGAGTTGTGGCCCGTACCATATATCCGCGTCCTTCGTGATATATATATATATATATATATATATATATATATATATATATATATATATATATATATATATATATATATATATGTATACATTATATATGTATATATATATTATATGTATATGTATATATATATATATGTATGTATATATATGTATGTATATATATATATGTATGTATATATATGTATATATATATATGTATGTATATATATATATATATATAATATATATATATATATATATATATATATATATATATATATATATATATATATATATGTATATATATGTATATATATGTATATATGTGTATATATATATATATATATATATATATATATATATATATATATATATATATATATATATATCTTCCCTAGAACCAGACAGATGTAACTGAATTTTTGTTGTTTTTCTTCCGTAATTTAAACACCGTTATGTTCTTAATCCACAAAGGCAGCTTGGTATGAGCAATTGTTGTCAAAACACCTACCGTTATTACACAACAACACAGTTACTTCAAGGGCTTACTACATAAACGTTAAGAAAAACAAACTAAAGCCCCCCGCCCCGGTGAATGTTTTTAAAAAAAGTTAAACTAGGACAATCTGAATCAAGGATATTATATATATATATATATATATATATATATATATATATATATATATATATATATATATATATATATATATATATAGGCTAAATATAAAGAAAATCGACCAGTGACCCAATAAACGAAACTCCTATTTAGAGTAGAACAATCCTTCTCTACTAAGATATAGCAAGTTAGACTCTTAACTATTAGAGCCTTAAAATGTGAATATTGCTACAGAGCTGAGCTGATTTTAATATGGACGGTGGTCACCTGTTTTATGTGTTAAGACACCTTCGGGGGGGGGGGGTAGCAGGCAGGATTCGATTGGTAGGCTCCAGTGTAATCAAAACGTGATCTACCTCTAAACGGGAAAGTACAAGCTTACCTTGGTGTTCTCACACATCCAGTCCAGATGAAATCCTATTTCAAGACGTCTAATATTTTAGGCTTAGAGCTGGAGGGAGGGGCGTCGGTGAGCCATGGGGGGGGGGGGGGGGGTGGGGTTAGAGAAAATAGTCCTGTATCGATGAACGAAAAAGAAGGTTTTAGTTTTAGTTCTGAGTAAAAATATTCTTTCAAATAATTTTCTCGACAGTATCTGAGAGTTCGAAAGGCTAATCGCGTGAATGGATATCTATTTTTAGCCTGGAGACGTGGGTTGCTGCCCCTTACATCATTTATGTCTTCTTTAAGTGCTACTGTACTCGCGACATTTTTTTTCTCATTAAATATTGATTACATGCCTCAACTTAATTGAATGTTTAAATTTAACCCTGCTTTTGTTTTTTTATTATGTGCCATGCACTCATTAAAACCGTATTTAATTAAACATCGTTAGTGTGATGTCCAGTTTCTAATTGTTTTGAACTATTACCTCACATTTTTTTTTATGAAAACGAGAGAATTCAATGCTGATTAGGTTCTCAAGTGTTTTTTCTCTCCGTAAATGACGTCACACTACCGAGGGAGAAAAGGGAATTAGTGACGATTTTTGACGGTGGGGGGGGGGGGGGGGGGGCAGTGCGACGAAAAAGAATATTAGAAACTGCTTTTTAGCAGTTATTTTGCATTTATACAAGATTGTTTTTTGCCCTGGTAATAAAAATGTATTAATGATTTACTCAATGTTGACAGATCTCAGAAAATATCTTAGAAATAAATCGATGTTATATTTAACAAAAACTGTAGTTTTAGTGATGGTAACCGGCTGATGTATAACGTCATTTGAGGGGTCTCGCTTTTTTTGATGATGTGTGTAAAAAATTGTCTTAAAACTGTGACATCCAGACTTTAAAAAATGTTTAAGCATATTTTCATTGTATAAATTTAAAAGTAACTCTTTTTATTCTTCTTAAAAATAAATTCAAATTATTTATGATTCAACAAAACAGTTAAACAATCCCCAAAGGTACTTAAATACTACTTATACGGGTAGTTGGAAAAAGACTAATACGGTAGTGTTTTAGAATATATTGAGAAAAAGATGTAGGTGGTCGTCTGTGTGTTTGTCACAGGGAGAGGGGTTGGGAGGGTGATGGTGTTGGTGTGGTGGGTGGTGAGCTATGGAAGGTCGAAGTGGTTGGTATTTATTATTTGGTGGTGGATGTGGAGAGTAGTTGTTTATGGAAGGTGGAAGTGGTTGGTGTGGAGGGTGGTGGTCAATAGGTGGTGGAAGTGGTTGGTGTTGGTTAATAGGTAGAAGAAGTGGTGGGTATTTATTATTTGATAGTTTATGTGGTGGGTGGTGGTGTATGGAAGGTGGATGTGGTTGGTGTGGTGGGTGGTTGTTAATGGAAGGTGGATGTGGTTGGTGTGGTGTGTGTTTGTTAATGGAAGGTGGATGTGGTTGGTGTGGTGGGTGGTGGTTAATGGAAAGTGGACGAGTTATAAAGTTATTTAATGGCGCTGGGAGACTTGCTTAGTTATTTGAGTAAGGTGGGCGGTTGTTAAAACCCATGTGACAGCTTTTAAAAGAAAAACACCCGAATCGATTTCAATCTCCGAAGAATTCCTCCAACACATGAAAGGACCGGGTCCGTTTCATCTGAGACCCAGCGAGTCAGGGGGAACATCACGTTTTGTGAAATGACTAGTAAATAGTGAAAACATTGCTGGGGAACTTGAGGAACCAGGAGGGCGTGTCGGGAACACTGGGTGGGATGTGTAGCGATAATTATGAAGGGTTGGGGGCGGGGGTTGAGGTGGTTTCGGTTTATCGGTCGGATATTTTGTCTGTATAGCGGTCGTCTCAAAATGAAGTAAAGCAATTTTATTCGGTTTTTAAACTCACAGACCTATATGTTACTTGTTATCAATTATAAGCCCATCCCTTCCAATAAACCCCGCAAATAAACACTGATCACCACACCCCATCCCTTAACATCACGACCAGTCGCTAACATACCATTAATATGTCGGGTTCTTCTATGTCTAGGGGTATATAGCAACAGACAAATACAGCGTACACAACAGTAGATAACACTAACACTCTATAATAATAATAAGATTATGTATATATATATATATATATATATATATATATATATATATATATATATATATATATATATACAATAATAAAATAATAAATGATAAAAGGGCTCTACAACACTCATAGCAATACTCAACACCAAGTTACACGTTCACAGCCACAGCACATTAATCTGCTTCACACTCTTTGTACACGCTCTGACACCGTCACCTGACACACCTCACGTGAACACTTCTCGCTCCATGTAAACACACTCAACCAAGGGATACAACTATACACAAAAATGAGAGTACCTATCGTTCGAGCACACAACACACACAATCAGGGGACATGTAAGGGACGTAACAACTGCTTTAATTTTTTTTAGGTTACAATTTTAAACCCATCCATTATTATCTACCACCAGCCTTAGCCAATCCCCTCCTTTCGTCCTGCATGACGTCATCTATAGACGCGCCCTATGCTTTCTCGACCAGTGATTTGATTTGTATCATGTTGTTGTATATGAAAGATTGATTGGGACGCATTGAGGTTTCCCATCCAGCTGGTATCTCACAGAGTCGAACGTCAACTTCGGCTAGTGTTAGGGCGACACTCAATTATTCACACAACAACATTCAGTCGCCGTCTAGAGTGGAGGGGAACTTGACGAGGATGGGATTTGAACAATGTTGCCTTGTGGGAGTAGGTTTTGGGGTGGGGGAATATGAAAAAATGGGTTTCCTGGTGGGGTGAGTCTAGGTGGAGGGCGGGACGGGGGAGGTAGGTGTTGTTGGGGTGGGGGATCAGAAAATATATGAAAATTCAGTTACTTGTGGGAGTAGGTTTTGGGGTGGGGGGGGGGGGAGTAGATAATATATGAAAAAAAAAACGTTTTCCTGTTGGGGTGGGTCTAGGTGGAGAGCGGGACGGGGGAGGTAGGTGTGGTTGGGGCGGGGGAACCTGACAATACATAGGTTCCCTGGTGGGGCAACTGTGGAAAAATCAGTTTCTTAGTAGGGGTGGGTATAGTTTGGTGGGGAGGAAGATCATCTGTACGGAAAAAATGTTTTTTGGTGTGGGTGTGTCTAATTGGAGGGGGGGGGGGGGCAGTCACTGTATAAAAATCTTTTTCTAGGCGCAGTGGGTTTGCGGTGGAGAACCAATGATTGTATGAAAATCAATGTGTATGATTGGTTAGGTCTTGTGGGGGGGGGGGGGGAGGAAAAAACAATAAATTTATAAAAATCAATTTATTTTCTTGTGGATTAGGTCTTCATAAATTAACAATATTATTTAAATTGTATTCTGCTTTATGTCCTAATAGATTGACATTCCTACCTAAAATGTTGTATTCTGTGTCCTGTCTTCAAAAATTGTCTAGTTCATCTAAAATTTTGTTTTTTGTGTTATGCATTCATACATTGACTATTGCATCTAAAATGTTGTATTATGTGTTTTGTCATCATATATTGTCATACACATATCTAAAATGTCCTATTCGAAACCAACCTTGACCTTGTAACAGGCGCGTGGATGACCTTGAGAGCTGGATGTACAGCGTGCGCAACAAGCTGCGCAGTGGACGAAGCAGCAGTGGAGCAGACGAGAACATCCCTCAACAGCAGGGCATCACCACTGACATGGGCGCCATGTTGAAGAACAGGTAAGGAAAAAAAATACGGATATTTAAACGTCTTTAAACGTATCACTTCCTGTCCCGTTACACTAAAAAGAGTAAAAGTAGAGTTCACTTGTTTCTCTGACCTACGGCATATGAAGAGATAGTATGGTCAGCACTTTGCCCAGCCGCCTTTACTTTTCCTAACGTGAGTTACATACCCATCAGAGTTGGGTGGACTCAGTGACGGTCTTCTGACTTGAACCCGGATTCGAACTCGAGACTTACGGGTTAGCAGTCCAGCTCTCTACCGATGGACCAATCCGTCTAAATAAAAATCTAAATATTTGAAAACAAATTAAAAGTTCTTGATTTGTCACTTTAGTGATCGTGTTTGTGTAATGCTTCAGCTTAATGCTTAAGTTTAGGGTTTTAGAAAAGCAGCCTACATTGGGTAGAAAGTAAGCTAAACTTCGTAGTATTCAAATCGTAAGTGTTCAAAAATTAACTGCTTTCGTATTAATTATTCTTTGTAAAAAATAAATAAGTCCAAAACATATTATTAAGCGTGTAAAATTAGAAAAACACCGATAACAGCTAGGCACTGACTTTATACGGACGCTTTACACTTTTTAAAAGTCTTACTCTAGTTTATAGTTTATACCTTTCAAGTTTCGGCATAAGCTCAAACTAAAGTTCAACTGGATTTCTCTACGAGTTTTCACCCTTATTATTCCCGCTTTCCTGGTTTTTTCTTCTTTTTTTTTTCGTGGAAATCTCCGTTAGAACATTTGAAATTATTTTAGGAAGTGTATTTTAAAAAGGGGCTTATTTAAATGAACGCGCCGGGCTATTTAAGCAAGGAGTATTGTCCCTCATCTAGTACACTTGTGGGATCAATGGAGCCCAACTTGGTTAAAAAAAAAATAACAGCGCGGGCTCTTGAATGGATTATTCATTAACTGGAGAAGGTAGCGGCATCACGCGAGGATTGCTGGTGACGTTTTCCTCAGGGGTGCCGGGCTGGGATTTTTTTTTTCTTCAGTAACTGTGTCAGGCTGTACATGCAAGTGAGTCGGAGGGTGTGTCAGTCATGCGTGGAAGTTAGATACTGGTCAGTCACGCGTAGAAGTCAAATAGTTGGTGTGTCAGTCGTGCGTGGAAGTCAGAAAATGAGTGCGTCAGTCATGCGGCGTGGAAGTCAGCTAGTGGATGTGTCAGTCATGCGTGGAAGTCAAATTGTAGGTGTGCCAGTCATGCGTGAAAGTTAGAAATGGGTGTGTCAGTCATGCGTGGAAGTCAAACATTTACATTCATGAATCTCAGTCACGACAGTCACACAGCCCCGTGTGTCAGTCATGCAACAGCGAATCCACACTAACCTACTGTTGTATACGGGGTACACGTCCTAATTTTGTTTATTTAATCCTCCACCCAACACCTTTTAGTCCAGTGGTTCCCAACCTTTTTCGAGTGGCGACCCCCTTTTATAAAAATTAAGTGACCCGCGACCCCCATAGAATTAAAAAGCCGAAATTAGTATGGAAATTAATAAGCACTAAAATAAGATTTTCTAGTAGACTTTCAATATGAACTACTCTTGATAACTGTTTTAATAGCATGAGTAAAATTGCATACTATTCACTAAACCTTCGTGGTTAACTTTTTAATTACATTTTTTTTTGTTAACGCCAACCTATGTCATTATAATTATCTTAATTTTGTTTTTAATCGAAGAATAGTGTTGAAAATGTATTCTCGAAAAGTCAATCAATCTTATGTTTGGGTACGAATGGTGAATACTTCACCAAAATTGTGTCTGCAGTTTTTCATCTTACTCGGAATCATTCTGCAAATAAAAGAACTCATCTTGTAATTCAACGGGAATGCTGGCAACATCAAGGGAAGAAGAGAATAGGTAATGCGTAAATGCAGATTCTTCTTTTTTTCAGCTCAGAGAAATAGCGATGCAGTCCGTTTTCAAGAGATTCAAGATGTCCAGAAATCGCTTCTTTCGAAATTTTAAATAACTCAAATTTACAATATTTCCAAGATTTATTTTATTCGCCGATTTTGCGGTTTTGATAAAAGTGCCCCGAGATTATCATGGAAAGTTATAATATCCGTTCATTTTACCTGAAGCTTCAGGTTAAGCTTATCTTGATGTTCGAACACATCTGCTAGGTATGGTACTCTCTCCAACCACCACTATGTCGTTTTAAGTATACCAAAAAGTCATGTTTCCTTTGCACTTCCAAGAACAATTTGATTTCAGATTTCAATAAAAAACACAATTTACAACATTTCGTTTGACAGCCAGCGTACTGTAGTGTAGAAGAGTAGAACCTCGTGATCTATATTAATATTTTGTTCTCAGTTCTTTGAAGGCTCCAGATTTTATATAATTTACGCCTTATACTAGCAATGAACTCTTGATGTCAATTGGTTAGGGTAGTGGTTAGGGAGCTAAATCTTTTCTGTTTTCTGAAAGCCCGATTTTGAGCTAAACATAGATGGCGCACCATCCGTACAAACCCCCACAGCCGTTCTAACCAATTTTAATCATCCAGTTTCAAAAAAGGTATTTATTTTCTCCATGTTATCTTCACAAAAGAGCAACTCTTCTTTGCTATCATCCGCATGAATATAGACACAGACCAGCAACTGCGAACACGAACTCACGTCTGTTGATTTATCAACTTGAAAAGCAAACAATGGTGAAAGCTTAATTTCAATAAAAATGTGTTATTTAACATTTACGTACATGAAGCGTTTGGTGAGATTTTCTCCAATTGTTTTTTTTTTTTTTTTTGCTTGGCGTTTTCTGTCGCGACTTCATTTGATGCTTGCACTAATGCTGGTGAAAACATCCTGTTCGATCAAGTCTCTGGCGTCTGCAACTAGCTTCTTACCAACGAAAGAACTCCATATATTTCTGGTGTGTTCCGAATGACTTGTCTCAAATAACGTTTTAGTTTTGAAGATTTCATAGATTCGTGACTGAGAACAACTTTGTACAGTGCGCTTTGTTTCTTCTCTATTACATTTCCAGTAATGTTAATGAAGCCGAATTTCAAAAATTCTTCTAAATATTTATGTTGTGTTTCAAATTACTAAGGTTAAGTATACCAGTTGGCGACCCCCCAGAAAGACCTTCGCGACCCCCAGGGGGGTCGCGACCCCCAGGTTGGGAACCCGTGTTTTAGTCTGACTTTTAGTTCTACTAGTTCTAGCTGTTCTTTGAATAAAATGTCCAAATGTTGAAGTTTACAACTATCTTATAAATGAAATGTCCCAATGTTAAATCTTCCAACTATCTGTTGAATGAAATGTCCCAATATTAAATCTCCCAACTATATTGTGAATTAAATGTCCGAATGTTAAATCTCCCAACTATCTGTTAAATGAAATATCCCAATGTTAAATCTCCCAACTATATTGTGAATTAAATATCCCAATGTTAAATCTCCCAACTATCTTGTGAATGAAATGTCCCAATGTTAAATCTACCAACTATCTTGTGAATGAAATGTCCGAATGTTAAATCTCCCAACTATCTTGTGAATGAAATTTCCCAATATTAAATCTACCAACTATCTGTTGAATGAAATATCAGAATGTTAAATTTCCCTACTATCTTGTGAATGAAATGTCCCAATGTTAAATCACCCAACTATATTGTGACTGAAATGTCCCAATGTTAAATCACCCAACTATATTGTGAATGAAATGTCCGAATGTTAAATCACCCAACTATATTGTGAATGAAATGTCCGAATGTTAAATCACCCAACTATATTGTGAATGAAATGTCCGAATGTTAAATCTACCAACTATTTGTTGAATGAAATGTCCGAATGTTAAATCTACCAACTATTTGTTGAATGAAATGTCCCAATGTTGAAATTTCCATCTTGTGAGCGAAACAAGAATGTTAAATCCCCCAACTATCTTGTGAACGAAATGTCCCCATGTTAAATCTTCCAACTATCTTGTGAACGAATGTCCCCATGTTAAATCTTCCCCAGTGTCGGTGACCTAAAGGCCGAGTGGATTCTGCTGAAACGGGAACTTGAGTCAGTCAAAAAAGAAGGCTTGGTGGCCATTGACGGCCAGAGGGAACTCAGGAACGAGACGGCCAAGTTGAAGGCCGGTATGGAGGAAACCGCCACAGCATCCAGGCAGATGGAAATGAAGGTAAATGACAGAATGTGACATCAGGGTTTCTTTCAGGCATTTTTTCCGGGCATTTGTCGCATTAGCGCAAGTGTCCATTCGGGCATTTGTTCCGTTCGGGCTTTTGTCCCATTCAAGCTAGTGTCCATTCGGTCATTTGTCGCAATTGGGCAAGTGTCTATTCGTGCGTTTGTCGCATTCGGGCAAGTGTCTATTCGTGCGTTTGTCGCATTCGGGCAAGTGTCTATTCTGGAAATCGGCCTTCGGGCAAACGGCGTTTAGGCAAGCGTTTTTTGGGAAAACGTCCAGCTCCCATATAAATTAAATATTTTTCTTATATCGTCATGGCTGGGGGGTCGACGTGTTCCAATGTAGGGGGTTTTGCCCTCCCTCCCCTCCCACCCCCACCCCAAGAGATGCCTGAAAGAAGAACTATGTAATATGGGTGTTGGATGGTTAAGATTTTTTAAAAACATTATAAGAGGTTAGAGTTAGCCTATCGCATCACTGTTACATGGGTCGTCGAAACACTTTTGTCATGCATCACGATTCTGGGCTAATTTTCTATGTCATGCACATTTTAAAAATTACCCTCTAAACTTTATGTTTAAGCCAAGCTTTTCAAGATATTACAATTTACATTAAGTTTCCAGGAAACGTAATTATGCAGAATATATTAATACTAATTCAGATTAGCCATTATGGTGATTTAAACCAATAATATTAATAATGCAATCAATGCTAACGTCACTTTAAAGAACAAAACAGAGAACCAATGATTCATCGCGTAGTTAAGATGCGTTTGATTTTACAGAAGTTGTTTTTTTTTAAAAATAGTTTATAGTTTATTTACAAGTGTACGTTTGGCACTTCATAGTCTAATAGACAATTGGATGATTGCGCATAGGAAATCCAAGCACAAAGCCCGGGCCCTAAGTTGAGAAGAGCCAGATGTTGCCTATGTATCAAGCCCCCCGTCCCCCACTCTCCACACAGCTGATGAACCCAAGAGATAGGACCTTACCTGTACAGCTTGGAATCAGCAGTGTCGCAGGAGTTGCCGAAAGGAAACACTTTTGATAAAAAAAACAAAAACTACTGAACAGCGACGTAAAGTGTTAACATTATGAATCATTGTACCCCTATTTTGTACTTTTAAGGGACATTAGCATTATTGTATGAATTCGGAGTTTTCTGTCTCTGATACCCTGAGGTTCGAACTTTGGACTTTCGGGTTAGCAGCCGTGTGCGTTTCCACTCAGCCACTCCGGTCCACGTTTGCAACTAAGACCTCGATTACCTCTTGTTTCTTTAAAGAATAATGCACTGAAATGAAGGTTTAGAATGTTGTCAGGATTCATTTAATTTTAAAATATTTATCGTCTTGTATGCATTTACGTTCTCACAACAACCGGTGGCCGGTGTAGATGTTTCACAGGAGCCCCTAAAAGTATTGCTTGATTCAAATATTCACAAACGCTACAATACGCACTCTAGACTTGTGTGAAATGTTATCCAAGACAGTGCATGGCCGTTGTATTTTTTTCCCTCTTAAAGTGTAGGTAACAGGATGCGTGCAGACGGGTTTTAAGGATCAAACATTTTGGGGAACGGTGGCGCATTAAAAGGGATTTACTTCTAAAAGACAGTTATCGATTTTTTTTTTCAAATGTAGAAATCGAAGAGAAGAGTAAAAAATAAGTTTTTTTTTTAATTTCTTTTAAAAGAACAAGTTTAAGGGCCCGTGTGATAATATAAATGTAAACCTGTTTTAAACGGTTATTTTTTTACCCTGTGGAATAATTATTTTCAATTTTTTTAATAATTTATTTGAATAATTGATCTACGAAATAAACTAAAGTTTAACGAAATGAAAACAGATGAAAATAGTGGCAATTTAAATTTTCTTTGAGGTAATACATATAAAAAATAAATTGCTTGGTCACAAACCAAGAACAATTGGCTTGAAAATTTTATGATTCTACTGTCATTGACATTTTAGCTTGTTATATTTTATGTCCCCGTTTTTAACTAGCATGGCGTGGTCGGGCAAAAAAAGTAATGGTTGCTATCCTGAAAAGTCCCGAGTTCGAACCCTATGGAGTATGAGACTCGTTTGCTGAGGACGACTTCAGGAGAAAACTCCAAATCAAATAGGAGTGAATGCCCTTAGGTTAAAGGATTACCGGTTTCCTTTCGGTAGCTCTTGCGACACAGCCGATGCCAAGTTGTATAAGTAACGCCCTTTCGTTTGGGTCCATCAGATGTGTGGAGAGAGGGGGGGTCTGATGTATGGGCTATATTAACTCGCTGGCCAGATTTTGTGCTTGTTGATTGAGTGTTGGGGGTCGGCGTGGTCGAGTCGGTAAAGCTCATGTTTGCTAAACCGAAAAGTTTCGAGTTCGAACCCTCGGGCAGATGAGGCTCTTTGGCTGGGGACAGCCACTCTTCGAGGAGAGACTACTCTAAAATCAAACAACTGCTGCCTTGTAGTTTGTTCTTGGTTGAACAAAGGCTATAGAAGCAAATCCAAAAATAAAAGCAGGCTGTAATCGGAGTCAATGGCGCATAACCAGTTGACACGTATCCTTAATTGTGATGGAGGCGTGATCGAGTCGGCAAAGCTCATGGTTGATAAATTCGAAAAAAGTCTCGAGCTCAAACCCTCTGGCAGATAAGGCTCGATCCCCTCCAGCACTATAAATTAAGAACGAAGAAGAAGAAGATTGAGTGTTATGGATAAGGGTATGAATGGTGAGGGCTAGGCTAAAGAGTAAGTGGTATGATGGAAAACATGCAAGTGTTATGGTTAGGGTGTAATACGAGTAAGTTAGAGTGAAAAATTGGTCAATGTTAAAGTGGGTAGGTTGAAAAACTGGTCATCGGATTTCAGATTTGGAAACAAAAGATGTTGATTTGAATGTCATGTTGTCTCCCTGTAGGTGTTGACTATAGTGGACCAGCAGAGCCGGGTGGATAATAAAATCAATAAGCTGATCACTGACACTGACCACATCAAGTTTCAAATGGAGCAACATAAGTTGGAGCACAGGCAACAGCAGTAAGATATTTTTTTTCTGGCACGTATTTTAATGCTGTGGTTGGTGGGAAGGTGGGGAGAAGTTCGGGGGGAGGGAGTTAAGGTGGAGCACAGACAACAGCAGTAAGATATTTTTTTCTCCAGCACGTATTTTAATGCTGGGGATGGTGTGAAAGGAGGGGGTGATAAAGGTGGATCACAGGCAACAGCAGTAAGATATTTTTTTCTCCAGCACGTATTTTAATGCTGGGGATGGTGTGAAAGGAGGGGGTGATAAAGGTGGATCACAGGCAACAGCAGTAAGATATAGTTTTTTTTTCTAGGATGTACTTTAATTCTGGGGATGGTGGTAAAAAGGGGGGGGGGAGGGGGTTAGTTGGAGCACGGCAACCGCAGTAAGATATAGTTGTTTATTTTTTCTCGCACTTACTTTAATGCAGGGGATAGTGGGGGTTACCTTCGGAATGACTAAACGCCATTGTGGATAAAGGATATCAGAACAAACCATTTCAAACAAAGATGATCAGAACAAATCATTCAATAAAATTAAAAGAGCGATTAAAACAAATCATTTCAATTTAAAGGGTCATCAGGATAAACCATTTTAAACCACGGGTGATCAGGATAAACCATTTTTAGACCAGGGGTGATCAGGGCTAACTTAATTAAACCAGGGGTGATCCGGATAAACATTATAAACAATTCTAGACCAGCGGTGGTCAGGGCAAACCATTCTAAACCAGGGGTGATCAGGACAAACCAGTCCATACAAAGCGTGGTCAAAACAAACCATTCCAATGTATACGTGATCAGGACAAACCATTATAAAGAAATAACGATCAGGATCAATCATTCTATTTTTATGCTCAGTTTCCGTTTCGCAGTTTTACGTTGCGCAAATTTTCCACTGCGCATTTTTCCGGTCACCAATGCCGTAATGTCAGCCATTTTCTTTTTGTTCCGTGTGTGCTAGGGTCGGCATGATCTCCCTCCAGTCCACGACGGCTGCCTTAAGGAAGGATCTCCAGGATGTGACGGCAAAGCTGACCCTGATCAACATCACCAGAACGGCGGATCTTTTGAGACAGCAGGGGGACGGCGGGTACAGCCACGGAGGGGGCAGGAACAGGGAGGGTGGGGCGGGAGGGACGAGTAAGGACGGGCGTACGGAGCAGTCCATCCCGAGAGGTTTGTAGAGGAAGTTGATTTTATTTTGTTTCGCGTCATGTGACATGAGCAGTGACACTGGTCATGTGACATGAGCACTGACACTGGTCATGTGACATGAATAGTGACACTGGTCTGGTTATGTGACATGAGCACTGACACTGGTCATGTGACATGAGCAGTGACACTGGTCATGTGACATGAGCAGTGACACTGGTCATGTGACATGAATAGTGACACTGGTCTGGTTATGTGACATGAGCACTGACACTGGTCATGTGACATGAGCAGTGACACTGGTCATGTGACATGAGCAGTGACACTGGTCATGTGACATGAGCACTGACACTGGTCATGTGACATGAGCACTGACACTGGTCATGTGACATGAGCAGTGACACTGGTCATGTGACATGAGCACTGACACTGGTCTGGTCATGTGACATGAGCACTGACACTGGTCATGTGACATGAGCACTGACACTGGTCATGTGACATGAGCACTGACATTGGTCATGTGACATGAGCACTGACACTGGTCATGTGACATGAGCAATGACACTGGCCATGTGACATGAGCAGTGACACTGGTCATGTGACACGAGCACTGACACTGGTCATGTGACATGAGCACTGACACTGGTCATGTGACATGAATAGTGACACCGGACTGGACATTTGACATGAGCATTGATACTGTGAAACTAGTGATGTGACATGCGTACTGACACTGGCAATGTGACATGAGCGATGACACTTAAAACTAACCATGTGAAATGAGCCCCGACACCATGCTATTGGTACCTTCCTCCCACCTAGAGTTTCTTTCAGCCATTCTTTCTGGGTTAGTAAAAAAAATACTTTAAAAATGCTCCCCCTTCCTGAAATTTATTGCACTCTCCGACTCGAATGATTCAAGTGAACTTCCCTTACCCCGGAGAAAAAAAGATCTGAAAGAAACATTGCAATCTCCTTTGTTAAATATAAACATTTAATTCTGATAAAAGATATTCAATACAAGTGATGACGTATGGTTTGACAGATGTGTGTCTTTCCAGTTAACTACTGAACTTAGATGACTTTCCTCTACAACTAGGATCATCCAGTTATAGCATTAACTCACTGTTACAATTATGTGTGGAAACTTCCGACAAATCTAAAAAAAATATTTCAGAAGCTTTTAGTTTAAATAATAATTACATCTATTTTTAAAAGCAAGATTAGCACCGAAAAAAATGTTGATTTTTTGCATTTTTTTCTTATAATTCAAAAACATTTTAAAAATAAATTCTATTAAATACAGAAATAGTTAATGACATTTGACAAATAATGACTGCAGCGATTTTCCAACCAGACATATTTTGAAAGCTATTTCTCCATTTTTAGCTTAGTATTAGGCCCATAGCGTGATTTAATTCAGCAACAGATCTGCCCGTTTTAATCAGAGCTTTTAAAAATGCACCCGGAAGTACATGCTATTTTCGTCTGGTCTATTTATAAAGCAGACATGTCTGTCAGACACCGACCAAATTGTATTTTCTTAAAACTGGAGATTTTATAAATGACATTTGATTGTAACCATGCGCAAGCGCAACTTTTGAACTCAGATTCATGTTTTAGATTACTACCAAGTTCGTTGAGAGTTAGGAAGTATTCCAGACAAGCATATTCTACATTTAGTTTTAATTCTTTTAAAATATCTATTTGTGGTATGCAGAAATACAGATTGTTTCATAATTGCTTTTAATTCGACGAATAAAATTAATAGCAGTTTTTGCTGCATTGAAATTGAAAGATGATGATTTGGGAAGGGTTCAAAGAGTTTATGAATCTTTTCTGCAAGCAACATCATGCAGAATACAGTCCGTCCATATTGTTATATATATATATATATATATATATATATATATATATATATATATATATATATATATATATATATATATATATATATATATATAATTGACTCTGACAAACCAAATCCTCCCCCCTCTCCCGTAGACTGTCATGACGTCTACACATCCGGGTACCGTGTGAGTTCAGTGTACCAGATCCTCCCTGAACACAGCCGCTTTCAGGTGCCAGTCTACTGCGAGATGATCAACAACACAGGGTAGGTGTCTAAGTTTTCAGGTGCCTGTCTACTGCGAGATGATCAACAACACAGGGTAGGTGTCTAAGTTTTCAGGTGCCTGTCTACTGCGAGATGATCAATAATACAGGGTAGGTGTCTATATGAATAAATAACTTTTTACAAAAGCATCATAAAGTATGCTGTGTAAATCGAGCGGTCGTTAGAAAAAAGATTTCGGAATAATGGACAAGGCTTAGTTTTAAGTTTTCATGTGGCTAGAGTTCTTAGTACACGCACGCACGCTCACATACACACACACACACACACACACACATATATATATATATATATATATATATATATATATATATATATATATATATATATATATATATATATATATATATGTGTGTGTGTGTATGTGTGTGTTTTGGGAAAGGCGTGGTCGGGTGTAATTGTAAAAGTATGCTAACACAAAATTCCAGAGTTCGAACGATACGACAGCTGAGGTTTTTTAACTGGCGATAGCAACTTGTCTAGGAAAAAAAATCCGAAATCATACATGAGTGGAACCCTCCATTAGGCTCAGTACCTTTCGTTGCTGTACATTCCAAAGGAATACAAAGCATTCGGTACCAGCTTCAGCTGCAGAAAGTGTCAGAGTTGATAACTCTATCGTCTAAGGGACTCTACTCAACATGAACACATTCCCTTGAGTAGAGCCTACATTCCTGCTGAACAATATCCGGCCGATTCCAGCGATTCAATCATGGTTAATTGTGTTTGTTAAAAGTATAGTAAAACATGTTTTAAATTGATGAATGCGACGGCGTGGCCTAGCGGTAGGGCGCTAGACTTCGAGTTAGGATCCAGGTTCAAGTCAGTAGAATGTCTCAGAGTCCACCCAGCTAAGATGGTTACTTAACTCAAGTTAGGGAAAATAAAGGCGGTTTGGAATAGTGCTGACTATATTGTTATCCCTTCATGTGCCGAGGTCACAAAAACAGGTGAACTTTATTTCACTTGCCCCATAGACCGTAGGTTTGAAAAGGGAACTTTAATTTTTTAATTTTTATTTTTTTTATTTTTTTTACATTGACGTGATTCGATCGTGTCCCCTCGTAGGTACACAGTTATCCAGAGACGCATTGACGGCACGCTCAACTTCAACAGACGGTGGTCGGAATACAAACAGGGGTTCGGTAATCCGTACGGCGAGTTGTGGGCCGGAAATGAACTTATCCACCTTCTGACCCGGCAGGCAAGTCGACTAACCTTTCATGTTTTAATTAAGTAATTTAACCTGAGTAAATAAAACTATCCCGGGGCGGCGTGGTTGAATGGTAGAGCTTTCGGCTGCTAGCCCGGAAGTCTGGAGTTTGGATCTCGGATTGTAAGATTTCCGTGAGTTTACTTTGATAGACTTATGTTGGGGTAAGTAAAGACGGGTGGGCAAGGTGCTGACCACACCACCCCCTCATATGCCAAGGTCAAGGAACATATGAACTCTACTTCATCTGCTCAATGGATCCCTAGGTCTAAAGAGGAATCTTTACTTTTTTTTGTCTATTGATGAGCTGTAAGCAGGAGTGGGTCGACGCATCAGAATGTCGGAAAAACAAATGTTACTGTAATTTGTTTTCTTCAAGACATAGCTAGAGCTTTTGGATTTTCTGATCACTTCAGTGGTGTAGCCAGGGTCGTCTCAAGGGGGGGGGTCCAATTTTTGCACCCCCCACCTCAAACTTTCGATTGCATCCCCCCCCCCCTCAAACTTTCGATTTGCACCCCCACCCTCAAACTTTCGATTAGCACCCCCCTCAAACTTTCGATTTGCACCTTCCCCCTCAAACTTTCGATTTGCACCCACCCCCCCCCCCCTCAAACTTTCGATTTGCACCCCCGTCATTATATATATATATATATATATATATATATATATATATATATATATATATATATATACCGAGGGGTCTATGGGGGGTTATGACCCCCCTAACCCCCCCCCCTGCCTACGCCACTGGATCACTTTATATAATCTTTATAAGCTTTATGACAAGAATCGGTTGCATCAAAGTCGCGATGAATGCGAGTATGTTAGTAATCTGGTTCTTCGACTCTAGATGCTGCATGATCTGCAGTTCGATCATCTATGTATAATGCAAGATTGGTACATATGACTGATGTTTTAATTATCTTTGTTGACTTTGTGCTCCTTCTGTTGACAGAAACACTACACCCTGCGGCTGGATATGTGGGACTGGGAGGGAATACAGTACTACGCCGAGTATTCCAAGTTCTTTGTAAGTCTATCTTTACTACGCCGAGTTTATGATAGCTAATAGGAAGCTAGCAGTTTTTTCCAGGCATCTCTTCGGTGGGAGATCCGCCAGCTCTCTTTCTCTCCCCCCCCCCCCCCCCCCCGAAGAAAGTCTACCCCCCCCCCCCGAACATAATGGAATTTAATATATAAATCATATAATTTTAACAGTGTCCACACCCCCTCCCCCGAGAAAATTTAGTCCGCCCCCCACCCACCGAAAATATTAAATGCCCCCTCTCCCCGGAGAAAAAAAAGTCTGGAAGAAGCACTGGAAGCTAGTCTATAGGGAATGGAAAGGGGGTGGGGGGTGGGGTGGAGAAACCAACTGGAACTTCCTGCTTTTAGTAATGATTCAATCCCATACCCCCCCCCCCCCCCAAGCAGTAACCGATGGGTCATGTTTTGGTCTCAGGTCGAGGACGAGAGTGAGAACTACAAGCTGGTGGTGGGTGAGTACAAGGGCACGGCCGGCGACTCGCTCATCTACCACAACAAGATGGCCTTCAGCACAGAGGACGTGGACAACGATCTGCACGAGAGGCATTGCGCGGCGGAGAATAAGGTTTGGGGAGCTTAACTTAAGTTGTTAGTGAGCTTTCAGTTGTTTCAGTGAGTTTAACTTGACACTAACATTGTTAGTTAGCTTAACATGGCCGAACCGTTGTTAATGTGCTTAACGTAACATACTCAACCCGTGTACTACCTCATATAGGCCCACACATCACATAGCCCTGTCTTACAATTAAAGTTATGTAGCCCACAATACAGTGGTGGGCGTCACCAAAAGAAATGTTTTGGTAAGGGAGGTTACTCTAATAATCACGATCGGAATAGTTTTCTTGGAGTTATCGGTTATGTTTAGTACAAATCACACGAGGCTTTAACTTAGATTATCTAATTTCCGTGTGATCTTATTACCATAGCTATGTTTATTTTTCATTGTACTCCAACCCTACACAACCTACATCCCAACATTACCACAGCTTACATCCTACCCCACACTACCCCACAGCTCAACCGCACATAAATTACGCCCAACCTCACACAACCCACATCTCAGCATCATACTCACGACTCTTCCTCCCACACCCCACCCCACACAACGAATCCACCCACATCTAATGCATTATCTTAATCATCCCCACACTAAATTACACTCAACCTCACACAACCCACATCCCAGCATCATAATCACGACTCTTCCTCCCACACCCCACACAACTAATCCACCCACATCTAATGCATTACCTTAATCCAGGGAGGGGGGGCTGGTGGTACAGCAAATGTTTCCTCAGCCAGCTCAACAGCCTGTACCACCCCACACAACCCCTACATCACCCACACACCACCCCACATCTAACACATGATTTACTTGCAGGGCGGCTGGTGGTACAGCAAATGTTTCCTCAGCCAACTCAACAGCCTGTACCACCCCACACAGCACCCCACACAACCCACACACCACCCCACATCTAACACATGATTTACTTTCAGGGCGGCTGGTGGTACAGTAAATGTTTCCTCAGCCAACTCAACAGCCTGTACCACCCCACACACAACACACCCCACACAACCCCCACATCTAACATATGATTTACTTGCAGGGCGGTTGGTGGTACAGCAAATGTTTCCTCAGCCAACTCAACAGCCTGTACCACCCCACACACCACCTACCCCTCACATCACCCCACCCCACAGAGCCCCACATATATCACCTGATATACTTGAAGGGCGGCTGGTGGTACAGCAAATGTTTCCTCAGCCAACTCAACAGCCTGTACCACCCCACACACCACCTACCCCTCACATCACCCCACACAACCCACACACCACCCCACAGAGCCCCACATATATCACCTGATATACTTGAAGGGCGGCTGGTGGTACAGCAAATGTTTCCTCAGCCAACTCAACAGCCTGTACCACCCCACACATTACCTCCAACACAACCCACACACCACCCCACATCTAACACACGATTTACTTTCAGGGCGGCTGGTGGTACAGTAAATGTTTCCTCAGCCAACTCAACAGCCTGTACCACACAGCGTGGTACTCCCAGTCCCAGTCCCGATACGCCGACGGTGTGGTCTGGTTCACCATCAAAGACAGCGAATTCTATTCCTTGAAACGGGTCGAGATGAAGTTAAAACCAAATTACCTCCCTGCAGACAACTGACAATGTCAGCAACTTTTTATTGTTAACTATAAATGGACAGGGAGACAACCATGATAAAGAAGTCACCGCAAGATGAAGTAGAGAAAAAGCTTGCGGATAGCAGATCTAGTTGCTGCGTGGAAGTTCGTGTAGGCTAGAAATACTTTAAAACTGCATCTAGATATAATACAGTTCCTTATCTATGTATGCAAACACTAACTGGCAATCAAGACTGTGGTTGTATACAGATGCATATTCATTGTAATACATTCTTGTATGTGTGACAAACAATTAATAATTGTTAATTTACTATTTTAATGTAGGCGATATAGGCACAGCCAGTTGGTGTAGAGGAGTTCATTATATTGGGCATGCTTATATACATAAATATATACAACATACACATAAATGTATATATATATATATATATATATATATATATATATATATATATATATATATATATATATATATATATATATATGTATATATATATATATGTATATATATATATATGTATATATATATATATATGTATATATATATATATATGTATATATATATATATATATATATGTATATATATATATATATATGTATATATATATATATATATATATATATATATATATATATATATATATATATATATATATATATATATATGTATATATATATATATATGTATATATATATATATATATATATATATATATATATATATATATATATATATATATTACATATATATATACATATAAATATATGAAACAGATATATGCAGTCCACTACATAAAGTGTTGCAATTAGATTAGTACCTGTATGGTTGTAAGTTATGTTGTTTATAATAATCTAATTAAAAAATAATCAATTTTGTTTTCCACGGAGTGTTAATAGATTATTTAGATTTCATTATCTACCCTGAGTTCTATTTTAAATGTTGTATTCAGTGTTAAGCAGTGTATTATTTTATCAGTAACTTCTTAGCGAAAATGTTTGTGTATTTACATACATCGATTTATATAATATATATACAAGGTTTATAAGTTGGGCAGGAAAATCTGGAAAAATCCAGGGTTCTTATTTGGGACCTGTTTTTTATAGGGCGCGTACATCCAATGCTCATTGCTTCAACTAGAAAATTTGGGGTATGTCTTATCGCGCTGACGTTATATGCGCCAGAATTATGTATACACTGATTAGTACTGAACTGTTTAGACACATAAATGTGTAAACGAGGTATTAATGACGTTAAAATGTATCTCATTATATTAGTTACATGGGGGGGGGGGGGGGGGAGTTAATTCACAAACTGTCAAAAAGTATACATTGAATTGAAAGGCTAAAGTATGCTAAAAAAAGATCAGTCATTAAAACTCATTAAATTTTATTAATTGAAAAAACAAAACATTTCATTGAGAGGTTAAAACTAATGGCACATTAGGGATCAATGACACTTCACCTTTCAAGTTATAACTTTATCAGACGCTTAAAAAAAAGAAATTAACTGACTATTTACACATTTCATTCACTACATGATTGTACGTCCTATAAACAATTGAAATTCTCACTTTCTCATACATTGGTTCTATCTTCTTAACTCACTGAGTAAGCCTTTTAACACAAGGCTTCTAACACTATTTGTTATTGCCCCTTAAACCACAAAAGATCTCAAAGAATTAATTAAAAAACAATTATCTTACACGTGGATAAGGAAATAGAAATTTTAAATATGCTTTAAATAATATTTTGTTTTGATTAATGTATTTTAAATGTGAATTTTAATAAAAAAAAATTTAAATTGTTTCTCCACTGAAAAATGTTTTCTAAAAAAAGCTAGGGGATTTTGACATAATTTTCACTTCACAGTAAAACATTTATGGAAATTTTTTTAAAACTATATTAAAAAAAAGAAAGAAATTTCTTTAGTAATCATCATGCTTAACAAATATCAGAAAATTTATATTTAAATAAATTATGTTGATATCAAGTATGTAAATGTGAATTTTGATGACTCTAAAACATTGTTTATTGTTTCCCAGAGCCTTAACAAAATATAATACTTTACCACCATATTGAGATATACCAATTCTCCTTAAAATTATTTGGGGTCATAAACTACAGTGAAAGAAGCCCGGCTATATTTTAATATTCCTTCAGCTCTCAACCTCTCTCCACAAACAAACTTTATAACCATACAATGTGATGACATCATGGAATACATTAAACTTTTCAAATCAAAGTTGGCAGTGTTTTTTTTCTCTTTTAATGTTTATGTTGTCATTAAATTTTGCTTAACAGTCTGAATATTTAAATTTATTTTTCAAGTCAGGTTCCATTTTTATTTCATGGAATGGGGGAGGGGGTTGAACTGTTTCAATTTTTATGTAGTCATTAAATTTTGTTCAAGTCTGAATATTATTTAAACTTTTTTTTTTTCAAGACCAGTTGCAGTATTATTTCATGGAATGGGGAGAGGAAATATTAATTTCATTAAATCAATGCAGTTAAAATTTGTCAGTTGATATCAACTGACTGTTACTGTCAACAGATCAGGGAAATTGTTAAACGCAAGTAATGTTAAACATTAAAAAAAAACCATAAAAATCTTTTTAAAAACCTGAATCAAGAAAGGATAACTGTGTTAAAAATGACATTTAACCATGACCATCACAGAGAAACTACTGACCAGCAAAGTGATCAGACATTTGGTTTAATTATGCATCAACACGGGGTAATAAAACAAAACACAACAGATTGGGACTTGAAAAAAAACAACTTAATGGCTACGTTTCTAATGTCAAATCAGTTCTAAGTCTACATCAACTAACTAGAAAAAATAAAACAACTGACGTCACAACTACTAATACACAAAATATATTTTGAAAATATAGCAGTAATTACAATTTCATAACTTTTAAAACTACTTAACCAGTATAATATCGACTTAAAACAAAATGAATAAAATTATAAATAAAAATTTAAACTATAAAGATCATACAGACATTTACATCACCCATCCACTTTTTTTTTAACCGTTAGTTAAAACAAAGAGTGACAAATATAATCTCATCCAACTTTTGTTTTATTACCCAATGTAATGTTTAGCATTAAAGAAATAAAACAATCACACGGCATGCTAAAAATAGCATGAACAAGTGTGATGAAATAAATATCTGGATTCAATCAGCTGTGAGCAGGCATACACATACACGCACATAGACCACAACACACATGAGCTGCTGGAATTTTCACACCACTTTGATAACAGGGAAAATCTTGTGTTGGGAAAAATCAAACTCAGGCGGTACCTGCAGAAAATGAACAATTGAGAAATATTAGCATTACAGGTGGAACATAAGTGAATTATTAGGATTATAATGGGTAGAATTCACATACATGGTATAAATATGGTAACCCTTAGAAATAAATTTTAAATTGGTTTTTTTTTTGTGAAATCATATAATGAATTCAATTTTTTGAATACCAAAAGAATAATTTTTTAAAAATGTTTTGTTGTTTAATAGCTGCTGAAAATTTTTAATTAGAGAGCACAAGATACAAAAATTATCGGCAAAAAACTGAACCTTTATAACTAGAGCACAATTGAAAAAATGGTTTTCTAATGTTTATTGAAAAACATTCCCAATGAAGAATCCAAAATACTCTTTAAAGTATATTATCAGAATCAAGGTATTTAGTTCATGCCATTATCTTTGAAATAAAAATGAAGATATGGTCGGGGCCAAGATAGAACCACTAACAAAAAAATAGCTTTGATCAGGTTTCTAAGTCTTCTTAGAAGAGCTAAAATTATACTAAAATAAAAAAAATTATTTAACAAAACTAGTTTAAAAAAACCTTTTCAACTCTTGTATTAAGCTGTTTATATTAAATATAAAAAGAGCTCTAAAACTACAACAGTATTTACCATGGAGTTCTCCTTATGACCACTAACTACCAGCTTCATCACCACAAAGTTGGTCTTGGCAATTTTAATAACTGTTTGAATCTATTTCAAACAAACAAAATGAAATGTTACATATCAATATGAAATATTATACAACAGTTTGAATTGGTTTCAACAAACAAAAAATAATTTGCCACACAATACACAATAGTGTTAAAACTGTAGTCTAGTTAAAACATAGTTTCAGTTTTTAATCTTTCCTCCAAGACTGACTGTTCTCTAAGAGTTTGACAATACTTTGTCCACGTTATCTGTAATTTTTCTGAATCACAAGGTTTTAGTTGCATATTTTGATCATATTAATATTGTGTTTTTTTGTCTTGAGGTTATTTTGGTGTTAATTTTGTGTTTTGTAATAGTTTTTTGTTCTTTATCAAAATAAATATTTGTTCTAGTAGCCTACTAATCTAATTCAAGAATGAATTTGTGGTCTATAATTTTTTTTATAAACTTTCAACTAATTTTTCACCAAATGAAGAGTATTTTTCATGTAGAAAAGTAATTTATTACTGTGTCTAATATATAAACTTTCTTTCCTTAAAAAATAAATAATCCCGTAAAATATTATATTAAATTATGATGACCATTTATATATTCTATGTGTGTGTTTCAAATAAAAGGAAAAAACATTCTGTTTTAGTAATGGTGGGGAGGGGGGGGGGGGGGGGGGGAAGAAAAGAGAATATTTCTGGTAAACCTTGGAAAATAAATTTGGGATAACAGGTTTAAAAACAATTATTTAAATACAGCAGATACTCTAAATTTAGATAAAATAGTGCTTGGTTAAAGAAGTAACAATCCAAACGATGTACCTCCTCTGACTGTGGAATCACAGAATCTAGCAGCTCTTTAGCTTGACAGAAACATTTGTAGGCTGAACCAAAGAGATCCTGGGTTGTTGGTAGAGGATCATAGCGCCGCAAGTCTGACATTTCCTAATAGAACAAATACAGATGTTAGTTTAACTTGGTCACTGCATGATTAGGGACACAGTGGTCTCAAGTGTAACATTTCTGAACAGAACAGTTACACATCTTAGTTTCAGCTGGTCAATAAAAAGTAGTCTATCGGCTGTAGTCACAATGAAAGACTTGCTCTGCATTACAACTGCCACACATCTTTGATATGTCACAGTCATAAACTCTGCTTTTAACAGTGCTACGGTTATTTGTTCTCAAAGAGTAATTTTACTGATTTCTGGCAGTATAAAATACCCTGCGTTAAATAACAAACAAGTTGATGCAGACTGTAAAACTAAAAGAGTTCCCTTACTTTGTATTGGCTGTAGTGCACCATGGGTGGTGTCAGTACAGCAGCAAATGGAGCAAATCTGTGGCTGTACCGCACTTCCTCGTTGTCAAACCGAAATTTGGGTTCTTTCAACTTCCCACACAGTTGGAAAGCTATCACAGCCTGGATTGAAAGAATCAAAACAACATGTAAGAAATATAAAAATTATATGCTTATGTAAGGGATCACAGAATCAGCATAAGTTACACTATGCTGTGTTACAAAAGAGTAACTATCATAGCCTGGGTTGAAAGAATCAAAACACGTTAGGAATATAAAAATTATGTGCTCCTGTACGGGATCACAGAATCAGCATAAGTTACACTATCCTGTGTTACAAAAAGAGTAACTGGCAGCTTGAATGTTGATGCGTCAACTATTTATAACAAACTTTGTAATATCCACCAAACATTTGCTGATAGGCCTGGGCAATGGTAAGCTCCCTTGTCAGGGTCTTTGTTCTTTTCTTCTTCTTATTTTTCTTGCTACTTCTACCTTTGACTGACATGTCTGTGGATACAGCAATAAAAAAAATTAACAAAATGTGTTACCTAGGTAACCTAAGCTGTGCTTCAATAACAAATTAATTAAATAATTTGTGATACATGAATTGAAGAGTTAAATGATAAGACACCTGGAGCATTCTCCGCTTCAAGGAGAAAACTGTCTGCTCGATGAAGGGTAGAAACCAGCCATGCATACAAAATTTCATACAGATACCTGGTGAATTAACATAAGCAAACAGAGAATTTAAACAAAGTTTTATAAAATGTGAAAGAAATACAAAATTATAATATTTAAGATTTTTAAAGCTCTTTTTATGTATGTATATTTTTTACATTATAAGTATAAAACAATAATTTATGCAAATTAATTATTTTCCAAATGTGTCCCCATTGCCATACAAAGACACCACATAAACATACCAGTACACATAATGGTATTCAAAGATGGCATACAGTTCCAGTTCAAAGCCTGATAAGGTATAGTTGATCATTGCATTGAGTGTGTGGAACAACACCCAAGTACCAAAACACGCCAGGTGGTTCCGATTTCTCTCTGTTTTTACCAGGAGCGTGTGAAGATAGGCATCTACCTTATCAGCCTGTCAAAACAACAAACACAGCTGTAACATTTAGATTAAAAATGGAAGTTCGTAACCAAATGTAATTGAAAAAGAGTAAAGTTCCCAGTCAGGATCGTCAACACAGCAAATGATGTAGAGTTCAATTATTTCTATAGTCAGTTCTATGCTTTTACTTTCCTTAGCCAGAGTAAGGTAGTAAGGTATATATAAAAGCTACGTGGACTCAAAAATGTTGAATTGACTTCAACTTCTTGAACTGAAACCAAGAATTTTGGGCTAACAATCAAGTTCTATACTTCTTAACTACACCATCTCAAAATTGTGGATATATGCATTATATTGTTTTTTTTACCCAACTCTAAATTATTTAGATTTACTTTAGACCATAAAACACAATATTTTAAACATGAGCTATTCAAGTGATGTTTCTTATCCTCTCTACCAAACATTCACCTTTTGCTTGATATTTTTTTTAGCAAGACTCCTCTCTATACAGACCAGCCAACTATCTATATCAGGGGTCTCCAAACTTTTCAGTCCGAGGGCCGCATTAACTATCAAATTTCAGTTCGGGGGCCAGTTTCTTCCAGGCATGTCTTTGATTTTTCTGGGCAAAGTTCCTCAGCCATCACCAACAAATGGTTTTTCCGTGGACAAAAAGATCTCAGCGGGCCAGATGAGAGGACACAGCGGGCCGCATCTGGCCCGCGGCCGTAGTTTGGAAACCCCTGATCTATATACATGTTACATCTTACATCAACATTGGTAACAATCCCAAGACCTTGTCATCCTACCCCATAACCATTATCACACTATACCAAAACATTAAACATCTTTAACACATGACAACAAACAATCCCCACAAATATATCAACAAAGGCGTGACCTCTTCTTGCATGTTTGACAATCTTCTAAAATGTTGGCTAAATTATCACACATTTGACAAATTACAATAAATGATCCATACAAATACATAAAGGCCTGACCTCTTCTTGCATGTTTGACAAATCTTCTAAAATGTGGGCCCACTTGTCCCTCTGTCTGGCTCTGTTGTGACCAGTGATTTGAAACAATGTACAAAATGGTCTTGCTGCTCGGGTCAGAAGGGCATCAATATATTCTTTAGCTTGAGCATGGTTGTAAATAGAGGACCTGATGCACAGATGTTTGGGTAAAAATTATACAACAGAACAATTTTCAATAGCTTTTCAAATTTTTGCCTAATATAAATATATATATCATATTATATGGTGGTGCTCATAGCGACAAATTAAGCAGTGCAATTATTTACGCCAATAGGCTTTCAAGGAAATAAACACTGCTTATATCCTCTTAAGAATGATGCTACAAAATCTGCCTATTCAATCATTTCAGTCAAAATTTTATCCAATTTTTTTAATAGCAATCAAATATGCTAATCTAAGTAATCTTCAAAAGCACTACAAATCACTGTACTTGCTTTTTTTTAAAATAGCTATTAGTTATTTAATGCTTTTGAAACTAACCAAAGAGTGTTAATACTAGTTAGTTTTAGAATTTTGTTTGTATTTTTACAACATATATTGAGTTTTTCTTTACACTGTAAAGACATATATAAACAACAATTTTGCTATTTTCTTGAGTTTTGTGTTAATTTGGAACCAAATTTAAGTAAAATGAAATAAAAACTTTTACATGCTGTGATTTCATGTGATTTCACAACACCAATCCGTTTTTTGTTTTGATTTTTGGGGTTTCAGATTTTTTTGGCCAAATGGACTAATAAAATATAATTTGTTTTTACATTTACACTATTACTTTTCATTAAAATACTTGTACTTAGAGCATTACTACAGAAGTATTTTGTCTCTTAACTGGCAGACAAGCAAGGCTGTACCCACAGCTGTGACTGGATGATAAATGACATACATTTTCTTACTTTGGTGAGAGTCCAGGAGGGGCTATGAACCCGCGGATGGTTTCTTTCAGCGCATCAACAACACTCTGGGTGCCAAATATTCTTCTATTGGGTGGCAATAACAACAACTGTCAAGGCCAAAACAAAATATAGGTTAAAATGGTGTTGTTACTTGTTTGGAACAAGAACAATTACTTTTATCAAATTATAAGAATGAAAAAATATCACAGTAAACTCTTTCAACAAAACATAATTCAATGGATGATACTAATGAAATAATCTGTTCGAGTAGTATTGGAACGATCAATGGTAAAATTGTAATTTACTTGCAATAAAGATCTTGATAAAACACATGGCGAGGACTTGCTGAACTCAGTGAAAGCTTCCTAAAAAGGAAAAAGAAAAATGTAGTCCTCTATTTGGAGTTACTACTGTACAAAAGAATTCAAGATACAATTTATATTATTTATACTTTTTTAAAAATAAATATTTTAAGAAGAAAATATTCTTTACAAATGGATTTCATTTCAATAACTAGAATAAATGTGAATTATTTAGAAAACGTTTTTAAATTGACGACAATGGACTTACCAAAATATTGTGTAAATATCCTAAATCAGGGACAGTTGTGATGAAGAGCAGCTTCTGAACCAATGTGGACATGTAATTAAAGGAATCTACCCTAGCCTTGATTATGGTGTAGCGAGGAAATGTTGGAGGCAGTAATCTCTGATTAATTAGAGGTTCAAACCCCATAATTGTTGGATAATCTATTGGTGAGAAATAATTCCATAATCCTTTAAATCCATGAATCATCTTTCAATATTTGTAGCTAACAAATCAAGGTTCCCAGAAAACTGCGCAACAGAAAACTGCACAAAAACAACTAACTATACCAATATAGTTTAATTTAATTTTATTTTTTGGAAAGGATTTTTTTTTCTACAATGTACATGTAATCATTCATAGCTAATGTTTATAAATGATTGATTTTAAGAAAATAAATTCCGTTGCACAAATTTTTGTGTAGTTTTCTGTTGCGCATCTTCCTTGTCACCCAAATCAGATATCACTGCTCTAATCAGTAAACAAATAAACCTAAATAAAAAAACCTAACCATTTTTGGATGCTGGTGTTGATTCCTCCAGCAGCCCCAGAGATATTGTCTCGGTGATGGTTGGTATAAGCTCAGCAAGTTGATTCAACTGTTTTTGTGCCAAAGGTAAGCCCTCACACTGTAACAAAAATTTAATTTTTTACTGCAATAAATAAACACAGAAATGGGGAAGTAGTAACAATTAAGGAAAAGATTAAACCATTACTTGTGAACACCAGGCGATTTTTTAATATGGAACACTTAATATAACAGTAACAAGTATGTATTAAATATATTTGTTACTTAATTACCTTTTCTTTAGCGAATGACAATAATGCCGAGTAGAATAACCTGTAAAATTTGAGCCGGACATGGACTGCTGTGACAAGTTTATGCTGAATTTGAACAGAAAACAGATAGTGTCAGCATTACCACGCAAATAGAAAACCAAATTAAATTTTCCACAATAAATATTTTTCTAGCCAAGCTTATGTCGGTGATTTAAAATAAAAATTTCTTCGTTAAAAAATTCTACTAAAAAATTTCTTCGATAAAAATTCAACTCACCTGCCTTTCTTGGGACTCTGATCTATCTTCACCTGCTTTGGATCTTGTACTCTATGCAATAAAATATAGATTTGAACACATAGCAAGTCTAGTGAAAAAAACTCTCAAAGAACTAGAAATAATCTAAGAACTGGTTACATGAACTAACCCTTACCTTGCTAATTTTTCCTAGTTCTTCTTCAACCTCCTTGATCATACCTAATGCTCGTGTCTCAGAAACATCTCCAGCCATCTTGAAGCCATATGACATGGGCTGAAAATCTTCCTAGAACACAAGATGGAATAAATTTTAAGTGCATTTTAAATATATAAATAAATGGCTACTTAGGTTAGATAATTGAACCTTGGATTTTTTAAAATAACAATATATGGCTTCATAGTCAGATTGGATGGGTAATTGAGCCTTTGAAATAAAGATGCAAGGCTTGGGCAGAAAATAGGAAAGACCCAAGTCATGCCCATATTACAGGCCCCCTCTCTCCATACAGCTGATGAGCCCAAGGGTGAGGCATTACCTACATAACTTTGCATCAGCTGTGTTGAAGGAGGTGCCAAAATGAAAAACAGAGTTGGTAATCCTATCACCTAAGGGGCTCCACTTCTGTTGGGAGTTTTCTCTCCTAGATGGGTTGATGTACCCAGCCAACAAGCCTCATCTGCCCAAGGTTCAACTCAGGACTTGACGATTAGTAACAATATTTCCCTCCTGACTACTGCAATCCTCTGGGAATGTGTGGTCAACACTATCCCAGCCGGCATCACTTTCCCAATTGTGAGTAGAGTAACCATTAGGACTGGGTGCACTCACTGACATCCTACAAATTCAAGCCCCGGATCAAAGCTCAAGACTTTCGGGCTGTGCTCTATCATTTGACCATACTGTCCCATCTGGTCATATAGTGACAAACTTGCACAATATAAAATTTGCCACTCGACTTTCATACACTGAAACAAAACAGTTCAAAGTTCACCTCTTCCACTGTTCCAGCCCTGTTGATTCGTTCTCTAATGTGATCTACTGTCTTAAGCATAACAATACAAAATGCTTTGAGGTATCTGTCTTCAATAACATATGGGTTATGGAGGTACAAATTGGTGAAAACAGTTTGAGCCAATGAGTGGCCTTCTATCCAGGTCACCTGCAAGAAGAAAAATTTACCTTATGTAGGTGTTACTTATTTCAGAGAGTTGTTAGATTACTGATTAAAGAGAATTATTGTTAACACAATTAATGCTGGCTTAAAACAAAGATTTTTTTAAGGTTACTAATTGTATTTGATTCAAAAGACTTGATAATTAGGTGTGTTTACAAATATCTCTGATTATAACTCTGGGCTAAGGGCATAAATTCCATAAATTTTGACACTTTAAGTCCTCCCCCACCCTCATAATATTTGTTTATTTTTTATTTTAAAACAATAGTAATTGTAACTGAAGTGTTTCTCTTCAATAAAAGATACTCCCAATAAATAAAATAAGAAAGCAACTATTAACTGATAGCCAGCTGGCTTAATTTCACCGAAACACTATTTTATTTAATACTCAAAGTGGTAGCAATTTAAGAGTTAGTTTTAGTTTACAGTTACAAATATAAAGTCTAAATAAAATTTTCAAGATTGACTGCCAAAAATACCAAAGCTTATACTTATTGTAAACCATATTTAACTTAAACATACAACTCACTAAACAAGCTGAAGAGGCATCCATTATGCCAATAAGTTCTGAATAATCCAGATTCTCTACTTTGACACAACCTTCCTGGTAAGAAAATAAATAATTACATTTCTCCGAGCATTAACTTTTTTTTAGTTTGTTGGCATATGTGTTTCTGAATAAACAAGCAACCTTATTATGTGTAAAAATAAAATATGGAGACAAATGGAACAATTTTTGCAAATTAAATATTAAATGTTAAAACCATATTTAAATAGAAATATTTTTTAACAAAAACAAGACTTTTTTTAAGCTGACCAAAAAATTGAAATTTTAAGAAAATATTCAATAGAAAAATAATTCTTTCCTAGTTAATATGTAGTGATGGGAGAAAAGTAAAATATTTACAGAATACTAACATGAGAAGTGTATTAAATTAAGAGCAACATTTTGCCAAACTTTGAAATTTTCATAATGGTATTGAACAAATACAAACAATAAAATAAGTAACCTTTATTGATTGCTCTAGCGTAAGAACTTTTCTTTTGATCTGATTACAAAGCATCCCTGCATCCATCTTTGGGTCCATCATCTCTATAGCAGACATAGCCTCAAACAACCCAAATCTTGATTTTTTGTTGGAAGAATAAATTTTTTCAATATGCATTTATAACTATAAAGATTGTAAGACCAATAATAAGATGTTAAAATATATAGCAAAGGTGTAAAATGTATTGAATCAGGGGAAAGAGTACATTGAAAAAAATAATTTTTAAGCCCCTAAATGATTAAACTAATAGATTTGCAGTAGGTTTACTATACCAGCTAACTTCAAGAATTTTAATGGATTAAAAAAGCCAAATAACTTACGAGCAGTCATGCACCAGTTCCCCAAGATGTAAATGTTTGCTGGCAGAAAAGAAGTCTTGGGTAATATCAACCCATTTAAATTTGGGGATGTCCAATTTCTCATTCTCGCTGCTTGTCATTTCTGATTCAGTTCTGTCTGATAGAAACAAAAATAAAAGGGCTTAACATAAGCTCCATAAAACTGCATTCTATCTCAAAGTATACACCTAAAATAAGTCCAGTTTTTCATGATTTTAATTTTAAGAAATACAATGAATTTCTGAGATTTTGCAAAATTTAATAATTTGACTAGACCCATATTAGTATACTAATCTAGGTGCAAGTACTAGTGTCTCAAATTCTTCTGTAAAGTATGTGTTCAGTTGTTGGTAGATTATCAAGTTTAGTGTTGGGTCCAAAATTAGTAATCAGTTTTTGAGTTGACTGTAAGGTTTTTTTCTTTTTGAATGCGCTTGTACACATATGCCTAAATCTACATTAAAATTTGATTTAGGTTACTTACTAGCCTAACTAACAAAAAAACTGGCTACAGTATCACCCTTTTTAAAAAGGTTCATAAGACAGTAGGCCTATATCTAGTATGAGTACAGCAACTATGTCATTGTCACTACATACACTGTGACTACACATATTGGTAAACTATAATAACTGGCTACAACAGTGACTCAACACTCAAAACTGTCAACACATACAGAGGCGTAGCGAGGGGGGGGGGGGGGGGGCGGGGGGGGGGGACATATGTCCCCAGGCGCCGACCTTAGGGGGGGCGCCAAATTGAAAGTTTGAGGGGGGGAGTGCAAATGTAGAGTTCGAGGGGGGGGGGTGCAAATCAAAAGTTTGAGGGGGGGGGGGTGCAAATCGAAAGTTTGAGGGGGGGGGTGCAAATAGAAAGTTTGAGGGGGGGGGGGGTGGAAATGAAAAGTTCGAGGGGGGGGGTGCAAATCGAAAGTTTGAGGGGGGGGGGTGCAAATGAAAAGTTCGAGGCGGGGGGGGTGCAAATCGAAAATTTGCTCCCGAGGGGGGCGCCAAATTGAAAGTATGTCCCCGGGCGCCGGGAAGGGTCGCTACGCCTCTGAACACATACATTGACAATTTGTACTTGACTTGGCGTCACATGGGCTCAATGAAAATCTAAAAAACAATAGGCCCTAATTAAGACTGGAGGTCTAAAAATTTTTAGAATCAATCTAAAATCTCTAGATCTCTGGTAGATTTTAGATCTAGATCTACATAGTACATACATTCTACGCCTACATTCTACATTCATTTGGAAATAGGATTATCCCAGAATTCAGAATCTTTTTCTAGCCTCTCTTGAAGAATCATATGGCCTTGATTAGAAGTCTATTATTTTATATTACCTTTTATTTGGTAAACCATATATCAAAATAAAAAAAATGGTGATTCTGACTAGAATCTAATCTAGATCTAGAGTCTAAACCATGGTAATTTTATTTAGGCCCCTTTTTTTTTTTGTAGGATTTTGTTGTGTAGACTGGCTTGGATTTTTTTTTTCTGCTGATCTTCAAGCATCAAATCTAGAGATCTAGAATAGATCTATGGCAAACGTTCAAGCGAAGGGAATATAATTTTATTATCACCTTTTAGTGGTGTTAAACCACAACAAGCATTTATCATGAGGTAGATACAAGTTTATATTTTATTGTACAAGTAGAATACTAATCACCGCAAAGTTTTAATTGCGGTGTTTTGTCCTCTCTTAAACCATAAAGAGAAACAGGAAGTGCATGGAATGACAGAACACTACAGTAGCCTCCACTCGTTGACGCTAGTTTACAAAAAATTAAAATGATGTTTTAAAAAGAAACGCAATATTGAAAAGTGGTTGTCCATCAATAACATCACGCTATTTGATGAACGCTTTTTACCCTCCCCACAATCGCAATCGTTGCAAATCGTCGCGAGAAATCATTTCCTCCAAAAATGATGTCCTACTTCCAGTGGCGTAGCGAGGTCGGGTGTTACCCGGTGCGGCACTTAATGGTGTCACCCCCCAGAGGCGTAGCGACCTTTCCCGGGGACAAACTTTTCGATTTGCACACCCCCCCCCCCCCCCAAGTTTTCGATTTGCACCCCCACCCCTCAAGTTTTTCTCTATATATTTTGCTATTTTTTTGCCTTGGTGTCACCCCCCTAAAAGGTGTCACCCGGTGCGGACGGCACCCCCGCCCCACCCCCCCCCCCCCCTCGCTACGCCCCTGCCTACTTCAACCTACACCTTCCTGTACAAAAAATATGATTATTAAAAAGGGGGTCGTCCATAAATGACGTCGCACTTGTAGGAGGGAGGGGGGGGTCCGTAATTTTGTGACGGTGTGTGATGAGGGGGAGGGGGAGGGGGTTCAGATGGTGTGACGTCACACTTTTGCATTATAAAAAAGCAATGTTAGAAAACGAATTTTAGCCATTATTTCGAGTTTAAGAAAACGGTTTTAATAACAATAGGAATTGCTCAAAATAGTAATGTTGACAGAGTTCTGACAAGTTTTTTGAAAAATATCAATGTTTTAAGAAAAATCCAACAGCAATTCTGAGGGGGGTTGTAGGCTGAGATGTGACGTCATTTTAGGGGGGTCTGGCTTTTTGTGACGACGTGTGACAGAGGGGAAGGGGGGTATTTACCTGTTAATAGTGTGACGTCACATTTTCCATAAATTACCGACCCCGCAAACCCCTCGCCATTAAATACAAATGCTGAAATCCCCTCCCTAGGATAGAGATGTTGTTGATGGAAATGCCCCCCTCCCCAGAGGACACTTCTTTAAACAAGATTTGAAAATTCTGAGTCCTCCAATTTACACAGGCCGTATAGATATCGTGAAATATCTATATTAGTATAATTAAAATAGAACCACTCTAACACCCACAAACTACATCCCCATAATGAAATTCCCTAATTTTCTACTGAAAAATTACATGTTATATTAGTTTAATATATATATATATATATATATATATATATATATATATATATATATAATGTTCTTTTCTTTTGTGAAGCCTTATGGGGTCGTCCATTTGAACATTTGAACTCTACTTCATCTGCCCTATGGATCATTACGTCTGAAAGGGGAACTTCACTTATTCTGTAATTAAACCCAACTGGACAGTATTTTTTTTTAAATTTCAAATATATTTGACGTATTTTTTTTTAGACGTGATGCCATTTATGGACAAAACCAAAGTGACTTTCTCAGCAGGTGTGTATAGTCCTTATTGACTTGACAATCCATAGGGTGGGTTTTTTTCTTTGACCATAGTATGTATAGTGATAATGTGGTCAGCACCACAGGGCCATTCACAACATGCCACTAGCCAGAGCCAATGGGATGGAATTTGAGACTTTCACTTTAGGGATGGAAGTCATGTTTTTCTACCTGTCGCCCTATGTCAACCAGATATTGTAAAATACGTGTAGCAATTTTTTTTTTCCATTCTTGTAAAATGTTTCAAAATTTACATGTAGGCCTACTATCATACAGTGAGACACATTAATTTGGGGAAAAATTTAGCTCTACATTTTAGGGGAGTAAGGACAAATTTCACCCATTATCTTCACAAGGGGGGGGGGGGGGGAGAAGGAGGAGGAATGCTGTCCACACTGAGTGACACCATAGAGGGATGACACACCCATTGATGCTTAATCCAGAGTGACACCATTTGGAAGGATGACCACACACAAAAATACTTTAAAACAATGCCTTATCCACCTAAAAGAATAGCACTATGGAGTGAGGACACCACACACACAAATTTAAAAAAAAAAAACAATGCTTAATGCAGCTAAAATAATAAAGTATTAGGGAAAATGCTAAATTATTGTCGTAGGGTGACACCCTCTGTTACCACACTGGGTGACTTTTGACCTAATGATGTGACTAGTCTCACCTATATCATATTTAATTTTCATATACTGTCTCTCTCAAATTCATGATTGCATATATATATATATATATATAATATATATATATATATATATATATATATATATATATATATATATATATATATATATATATACATATACATATATATATATATATATATATATATATATATATATATATATATATATATATATACTATATATATATATATTATATATATATATATATATAGTATATATATATATATATATATATATATATATATATATATATATAAGTATATATATATTATAAGTATATATAATATTATATAAGTATATATTTATAATTATAATTTAAGTACTTTCACAA